AGCAGAATCATGTTGCAGAATTAAGTTTTTGGTAATGCATATCGCACATGTCCTTGTTTAACTGAAAACAGATGACACATCATCTCCTCTCATGTCTGACAATTTGCAAGGTTACTGGAACAATGATCATGCACTGCTGACAGTGATCATCTTTTTATGAGGATTAGTTCTGGAATAAGATGTGAGAGCAGAAGTGTCCTGGGTGACCCTGGGAGGTACCACTGCACGGCTGATGAGCCGCAGCTACTGCTGTCCTGCATGACAGTGGTGCTGGGGCTATGCTGACAGCTTCCAGGTGCAGGTGATGGCTGTCAGTGTGTAAGCATTGCTTAACTGCTTCAGAAGAAGCAATGGGATAGCCATAGTTTTTTTTCTAATGCCATCCAATGTTAACTCTTAAAAATCCATGCAACATGTGAGATTCAGGAAATTCAGAGACTAGAGAGTGTATTTTCAGCTTACAGCTGGGCCAAGCTGAGCACACGAGGCTACCAGGCGTGCTCCCCCCACCATTGTGCCCATCCCACCTCTCCTGCACTGGGCCATGGATGCACAAAATGAGCCAGTCCAGTAAGCTGCCTTGGCAGAAAATTAACCATGGAAGTGAAAAAGAACAGTTTTCCCATGGATCGATATGATGAGCCAACATCTCCTATTGTATGACCTAGCACTAGCATAGGATTTGGGAGGGAGAGGCAGGGTGTGGGACCACCTCTTCTGCTAGGGGTTTGCTCTTGTGTCATAGCTTAACTGCAACGAGAAATTATCCTCTTGAGGAGCTGCCGCTCATTGTCATGCCTCTAGCAGCAACGTCAGCACGAAACGCTCTCAGCTTTCATCTCTTCCCTCAACGATAAGGGAAATGCATCAGTTTCTGGCCCCGCTCTGCCAAGAGGATCAGTAAAATGGGCTGGGGTGTTCCTGGGAGCCACAGCGTGGGTGTGGGAACGACACAAATGTCTGTAAGGAGCATTTTGCTCTTCTAAAAATACATCATGTACTTTGCAATGTGCAGCTTATTATTGCAATATATGTTGTAATGCATATTGTAACAAGATGTTACAATACTGTGAGAGGTTGCATTTTGTTTATCATCTGTACTGAAATAGGGAGAATTTTCCTTCATCAAAAAAAAAGAAATCTCAGCTTGTTCCTGTATTGTATCAGTTGTGTTCCCATCATTTGCAATGGTGGGAATCAATGTGGATTTTGTGCGTATGACAGCCTGGCTTAGATGTGTAAGCGTGTGAGCGGAGTTTAAACGCCTTGAGTTAGGAACATTAACAAGTCAGCAGTATCACTCTGCAGGTATGCTACTGCCACCCCCCCCAAACTACCTGTAAAACATAAATCATAGTAGTTGATATAAATGTGTGGTATCAGAACACCAGCTTGAGTTATTCTTGTAGAGTATTTGGCAAAAACCAGTTAACTTAACCTAGCTGGCTGTTGCCGGTGAGTGACATATATCACCTGGACAAAGGGGCAATTGCTTTTATTTCTTTGAGAGCCTTAAGGAAAACGATAGGAAAATGGAGAGGGAAGGTGAACGTGAGCACCACTGCACGCGGGGCAGACATCCCCTTCCGCCAGCCTGTGTACGTGAACCCTGTCTTTTGGCGGGGGGGTGATCGCGCCGGGGGGCAACCCTGTCTCCTCTCATCTGGGCCTTCTGTTGTCAGCCTGAGTGATGGGGGCCTGCCAGTTCAGTCCCCTCTGCTCCCGAGGGCCGAGGCCTGGGGCAGGTCTCCTCGCATGTCCTAATTTGCTGGCTCTGACACCGTGCCCGTGGGGACGTGCGTTTGTCATGTAACAGCTCCAGCTGGAAAGGGGCTTCTTGTTTGCATTTGAAACCCCTGCCTAGGAATGACTGGCTTGTATCCGCCAGGTGCTGGTAGCTTCAAAGGCGGATTTCTGGGGCATGCGGACGCGCTCCTGATGGCATCTGTGAATTTGCAGAGCGGCAAAGGTCCCCGGAACATCACAAGGAGAAATTCCCCAACCAGCGAACCTACATGTTGATTTTACAATCACGGTGGAAATAATATATTTTAAAAGACTCACGCGGCTTAAAACCAGCTGCATGTCAGACCATGATAGGCAATTGCACTGGGTAGCACAAGGAGGGAATAACAAATTTAACTTTGCATGTGATTATGTTTGCATAATTGGCATCAGCTGTGCTCATGGGCTGGTTATTAATTAGCACTCCCACATAAATATTCATCCCAAGTCAAGGCAGCCTGTTAGAACTAAGGTGGGAATATCCACAGCACGGCGCAGGGCATCCTCCCAAGTGGTTGGATGCTGCGCTCCTGCGCACTGACGCCCTTTGACGAGGGCTGCTGGTGTCTGAAGCCATCAGACACACGGGTAGGGAGCAGTCCCACCGTCCTGCACCCGCCGGTCCCGCACCCACCGCGGAATGAGGCTGCATGCGGCAGCCTGGTGGGGTGCACGCCTAGGGACCGGTGCCTCTTCCAGTGAGTGCAAGTTGTTTCTTTTCTTTGCATTTTCTTAATGTTACTAACGCGAGGAAGAAATGTGCTAAATAATATTTTTCAGTGAAATGCTTCCTTCAATTTGTACTATTTCTACAACATTGCTACTTAATAATGGGCTGCAAACATCAAACTGTTATGCATATTTCATGAACGTGAATTTAATCATATGAAGGGAAATGTGAATATTGATGTTTCTGTTGTTGTTTATGAAGATTATGTTTAAGGTTTTTTCTGGGAAACAAACCATTAGTGAAATACTATGAAATCTTTTGTATTTTCTCCAGTTTCTTTGTTCCTCCTAATTTAAAGTGTTGCCTATGTTGTAACATGTCTTTGTTTTCATATAAATTGGGATCAACTACCCAATATTCTGCTTGTTTTAAACAAATAATCATTTGATGGTGTTTTACCTTTTCATCTGTACATCCATTTAGATTTCTACCTGATTAGGTATTTAGCAGAAGGACCTCAGGGGGCATCTCTTTGTTTCATTCAAAGTTAGTAGACCTTTGCCTTAATGGAAATTGTTGGAAGCACCTTTAATAAAATGGCATCCAAAGTACATTTGATTTGCTCCATTTTACTAAAAGAATCTACATTTTGCATAACCTTGAAACACAGTTTCCACGCAGGTATTTACGGGTTGTCCTATGTTGTCTTTTGGCAAAGGCTGGCTCTTCCCCAGGGACAATGTGGGATCTCTTTGGGTTTGTAGCTCGGTTCTTCCTCCCTGCAGCTACCGAAGGGCAGGACAGCCTGGGCAGTGTGGCCCCTCGGGGAGCACCTTGGCTCTCGCCTACGGCTGGAGCTGGAACCGCAGAGCTTCCCGTGTGGCTGAGGGCGATGGGGTGACGGTGCACCTCGCCTGGCCTGGGTCCGGACGCAGCCTCCACGCTCCGCAACAGAACGACATCATGCCCCAACCCGCTGTGTCCTCTCCCGCATAATTTATTTCACAGCTGTAAGCTGTAATCAACCCCTCCACCCAGACATACCTAATGGAAGTAATTTCCTGATGCCGTTGCTGGGTGTGTGTAAACTGCCATCCCTTGCTGTTTCCCTGGTGGGCCATTTTTGCAGTTATTGGAAAAAAAGTATTTTGAGTGATCTGTTAATTCACAATGTCATTTTCTTCCAGGTTTACAGACAAAGCTATCAAAGACAAAAGTACCAAATGTTGTTCTCACAAGGCAAAATGTTCTTATTTCAAGCAGGCCACATTTTAAAAACTGATTATTTAAATTAAATGTGTGAAGTCTCGAAAACTTATGCCAAAAATCTCATGCATGTATGGTGTCTGAAACCAGATCAACAGACATTTTAGGGGATGTATATGATTTCTTTCTTTCCATAGAATCATTACCTGTAGGCACATTTGGCAACCCTGTGGCGTGTGAGCGTAATTAATACTTTATATTCATGTATAATGTATATGTATGCAATCCAGCTGGGAAGAGCCTGAGATTCTGTTGCAGTGCTGTGCATCACTGCAGACACAGAAGATGATTTTGGGCTGTGCTCAGTAATTTTTCGTTATTAGGCAGGGCACAGGCCACCTTGTCTAAACTCTCCAAACAGACTCTAAGGGTCTGATCCTGGCGTAAGCCATGGCACGTGCACCCAGCCTGCAGCGCGAGCCACCCCTCTGGCCCCGGCACACCCCCGAGCGCAGCACTGCGCCCGGGTGAACGTGGCTCAGCTCCGTAGAGAGGGAGGCTTTAATTCCACATCAGCATTCGGAAAAAATATCCAGAAAATATTCCTGGAGCACCTGCAAATTCAGCATGCCCGATCCCACGGAGATGAGCACGGCTCTCTGAACTCAGCGAGAACAGTGCGGGCAAATGGGAAAGAAGAGTATTAGAGATAGCTGGACATTTGTCATTTAAGCACTTAATGATTTTGCATCATGTTTATTATGCATAAGTAAAACCTTTCATGGAAAAGGGATAATTAAATTAATTGCTTACATGGGAGGGAGACTTTTGGAAAAATAATTTTAAAAATTTACATTCCTTCTATATTTTGAAAATTAAAAGGATATTCAGGTTTTAATATTTTTCTTTTAAAATTATGAGTCCAAATTTTCAAAAGGTGATGTCCGAGCAAAATGCTGCAAAATCATTGAAATGTTTGAGTGAACTAATCCAAATTGCGATATGAGTATGAGGTTTTAATTCTTTTTAAGATATTCTTAAATGATACTAAGAATATGGGTTATTTCCCAATCACTTATTCCTACTGAAAAAAGAGATTTTATTCTGTGGGGCCTCCGAAAGAAGAGTAATATTCATGAGTTGGTTAAGAGATTCAGTTCGTATGTTCACTGTCAAATATTTGTTGCTGTTCTATTTCCAAGAGAGCGTTGTTGTATTTTCCATGTCGAGGGGTGTTGGCTCTGTGCAACTGTTCTCTGGCTGTGTTTGGGGTCATAAGATGCTCTGTTGTTGTCAAGCCGCTGCCTGCCTGTGTGATTGTGTTCTGTTCTCCTTGTAGATGGAGGAGATTAAATTTAAAGACAGAGCAGTCTACGTGCTGGAGAGAGAGTTAGGGGTTCAAGCCGGGCATGCTCAGAGACTGCAGCTCCAAAAGGAGGCTTTAGATGAACAACTTTCCCAGATCAAAGAGTCTGATCGGCATCTGAGCAGCCCCAAGCGGGAACTTCCTTATGCAAGTGGTGCAGGAGACGCTTCAGATCATTCGGGAAGCCCCGTAAGCACTTTCACGTGGTTTCACCTACACAAACGAGCAGACAGAGTGACAAAATGGCACAAAGTGACAGAATCTTGATGAGTGCACCCTCGAGCAACAGCTTTCCTATAGCCGTGCAGGGGAAACCCCAAGGCACCGATTTCTTGCTCTTGTTCGTTAGCCAAACCTTTAAGATTTCAAATCAAAGCTTGTTATGGGAGAGCTTTTGCTTTTTTGTTGTTTTGTTTCCTGGTTTGTTTGGTTTGGTTTTGTCAGCAGGGCGAAATTTTTCTGTTCTTTTTCTCTTCCTTTTCCTCACTGTACCATACTTCTGCCACCTGACCTTAATTTGACAGTTTGACACAATTTTGCCAACAAATGATGCAAATGCATTTCTAACCAAGTCATGTATGTGTGCTAGCTTTTGGAACTGCAACAATGGATTTTGTGAGCAGATGTACAAGGCCAGTTTACAAAGGGAAATGGGGGAAGATAATCGGTGCGTGAAAGTGTGGGAAGTCCCGCAGTCCTCCTGGAACACCGCTGCTAGCTTGGGTTTTCGTGCTGCTAAGTGCTCTCGCTTTCAGTGGACCAGAAAGTGAATTAAACACCTGTTAACTTATTCTCTCCTATTTCTTTTCTACAATGCAATATCCAGAACATTAAATTTTAGTCACCCTTTCACAATGGCTTTTTTAATATAACTATGGCACCTTTCTGCTTTTGCCTTAATTTGCTAATATTAAAAAACCCTCAATTAACTGACCTCATATATCTGACGTATGCAAATTTTCTTCATTGCTGATTCTCATCAAGATTTCTTTTGCAACAGCCTTAATTTTCTCAGTAGAAGTGTAAATACTTGTACATGAGCAAACCAATCTATTTTATTCTTTGTCCCAAGCCTCTCCTGCACCTGTTGAATGAGGAACCCTCCCAAAAGTGCCACCAGCACTATGGACACTAATTTGCTTGTTTCAATTTGTACTCAACTTCCGCCAAACATCAGAACAAGTCCTAGAGAAGGGGAAAAAGTCTGTCACATTTGTAAATAGATGTAATTTCTCTCTGATTCTGAATGAGAATATGTCTACCTATATTTCTATTCGTTTATAATTTGATTTAAGCATTTTCACTCAGATAAAGTGCTACCCCTTTGGCTTTACGAGTGACCCTTTAGAACCCAGTAAGGGCCACAGCTTTATGGAAGAGGAGCTTATGCAATGGTATAATTGCATGGATTTTCCCCATTTGTACTTCAGTATTTTTAATATCATTTTCTTATAACAAAGTCCTCAGAGTGGGTGACATGTCTGAAGCACTCAGTTCAACAGTGGCATACATTGGAAACATTGCCTTAATTTCTGATGTTTTCTTTTCTATTTCCAAGTTTACCATTTGTGACTTCGTATTTGCATATACATACTTCTGCATTTGCATACTTTGTTACATTTTCACTCCTAACTTTCTGTTCATCTCATCCTGCAGTTTTCAGTAGTCAGTTAGGTTACATAGGTTACACTCTGCTGTATAATGTTTTGAAATGTTTGGATTTGGGATAAAAAAAAGTTTGAGCTTTGAAAAATATTGATATTGCGTGTACACTTATGAACAGTTATTTGCAGTTGATCTTTGTTTTAGGAACAGCAGTTGGATGAAAAGGATGCCCGGCGTTTCCAACTTAAAATCGCTGAGCTGAGTGCCATCATCAGGAAGCTGGAGGACCGGAACGCGCTGCTGTCCGAGGAGAGAAATGAGCTGGTGAGTGCAGCAGCGAAGCACGGCAATGACCGCTTGTGAATGTGCTGCTGTGGCCATGCCTTACCCCCAAAATATCGAGATATTTTCCCCTGTGCCATTTTGAAATCATTGCAGAAGTAGCTGGCTCTTCCTTATGCTCTCTATTTGGTGGTATGCCACATTACACTCATCTTTGCTTATATAACAATGAATTTTTTAAATGGCATTAGCTGGAATTATTTTTATTTATTTGTTTAAATAAATACATTCCCCACATGGTATGCTTGTTGCACAGACTGAATACCTCATGAAGGAGGAACGATCTGCTTCCCAATGGAAAATACCAAGAATTTTTGATCAATTCTGCTTTGCATTAGGAGGAAATACCGGTAGTGTGATAGTTAAAGAAAATGATTAATATATTTGATGAAAAATAACAGCTCCGGAGGTGTTAATTCTCTCTTTATCTTTCAGTTAAAACGTCTTAGAGAAGCTGAAAGTCAGTATAAGCCCATTTTGGACAAAAATAAACGCCTTAGTAGGAAAAATGAAGAATTGTCACATGCCTTACGTCGAATGGAAAATAAATTAAAATTTGTAACACAGGAAAATATAGCTATGGTAAGTCTCTGTATGTTCCAGGAAGAACATATAGTTTAGTACTCACAGAGCTGATGAAGTCAGGCATCATCCCAAACTTGCAAGTTCGATAGGAAACCCTTTCCAGTGCTTGCTGAGATGTTCTGCAGTGCGCTACTGAGTGGTTTGTGACTTGAACAAGTTTTGTTTTACATAAAATGTTTTATTTTAGCTTTAAAAACAAATAGCTCTGAAGAAAAGAAATTGCATGAGCTTTGCACATTTTGATCAGACTGCTCAGTCACTGGCTGCTCAGCTTCCACATGAGCACAAATCACTCTGCTTCACCTTTGACTTTTGTACCAGAATCACCTCGTAATCCCTAGGAAATCTGCACTCGTGACTCTCTTCCCTTTTTTTCAGTTGAATATTGTTAGTGGGTGACAGCCAGTAGCAAGTAGCTTGGCATTGCATGAATGTAAGAGGGCTGGGGTCATCCCTGTGGCTGCTGCAGCTCCGGGACTGCTGCAGATCAAAACTAATGAGAGGAACCCAGAGAGAAGCAACATTGGTCCCAGCTCTCTGAATTCCTTCTCCACGCAGAGTAAGCCACACGGCTCTTGGCGTAACTAAAGAGCAGGTTCAGCTAAGCTGCTCCTAGCCCCTCTCTTTGGTGCGATGGCCCCCCATGCCCGCTGTCCTCCCTGGTGACTGCGAGCTTCACATGGCAGTCTGAGGAGCAGGAACACCCGGTGTGTTTGCAGTCTAGCTGCATCGCCCAGCAAAAGGGGAGCAGGATAGCTGCCAGAACAGCCATTAGATTAGATGCATCACCAGCTGTAAGCAGAAGGGTTGTGTACTGTCCTTTGGCAAAGCCTTCTGATAATTTCCTCTTCTGCCGTATGGGTTTCTTTTAGAGGCAAAGAGCTGGAACAATAAGGAGACCAAGCTCTTTAAATGATCTTGACCACAGCCAGGAAGAAAGAGAAGTTGATTTCCTGAGACTACAAGTTATTGAACAGCAAAATATCATTGATGAACTCTCCAAGGTAAGAAATAATACTGCCACTCTCATGCGAGGTCGACTAAGGCCATAGCAGACGAACAGGAAGCCTAAGCAAGGGTTGCTTGGGGTTCTGTGAGCTAACAGGCATAGCTTGCATCAGTGGAATGTGGTAGGCATTTCTATGATTACTAGTAATTGAGCTGAATATAAATTATCTGTGGCATAGTATTTGAAAAAATCTTTTCAGTCTACACTGCACTTGCATGACAGAACCATTGCAGCATGTCCAGTAGATATGCTGATGGCCGGATCCTGCACCTGCGAGAGAAAATGTCAGAGCTCCTTTAGCTGGAGACAGCGTCAGGGCTAAAGATTGCTGTGTGAAAGGGGGGTGTTCTGCAATGTTGTGTTTGGGTTTTTGCTTCTTTGTTAACATGTTCTCAATCTTTGGAAAGAGAAAATACTGACATCATAATACTCCTCAGGAAAATACCTTCTGGTTCATTTTTTATTGGTTTGTTTGTTTGTTTGTTTTTTTAAGTCTGTACACTTACTGACATTATTTCATTCTTTTTCATTAGACACTGGAAACTGCTGGCTATGTGAGGAGTGTCATGGTAAGAATGATGTTAACTTCATCCTCATCTTTGTATGCTTTAAATTGCTGTTCATGAAAAGCATGCAGGGTATAATAATATTTATTATCACTTACATCTTCATTCAGGCAGCAAGCTAACACAGTGTTTTTCTCAGCGTAGCTGTTGTCAAAGGCCGTATCAGCAGAAGTTGTTCACCAGAGAAAAATATAGTGATAGTGGAGAGGAAAACTCTGGTGAGAGAGGAAAGCTTTTTTTTCGCCATTAGGATGACCACAGAGGCAAAGGCCAGCGTGGTCACCCTGTCCTGACGGCTGACAGCGAGTGTCCTCCATCTCTGGCACAGCTCTGCCATGTTGGAGTTGCATTGTTTTTAGAGTCTGATTACCACTAGCTTTGTCTCGCATGTTCTCAGTCACTGTCCTTGCCTGACTCATTGCTTTGTTATTATCGGTAAAAATTTTGTGAAGTTAAGATCCTTAGAGAAGTCAGCTGAGACTGAAAGTGCTGAGTTCAGTCTCTCAGTTTTGTGTAGTTGGGCTGTTACATGTGTGCACCTTCCAGAGGGCACTAACAGCCACGGCACCAAGAGCCAAGGGCAGGAGTTGGCCTTGGCTTCTCACTCCTGGACAGAGAGCCCGTCTGCCGGGGGACGGGCTGGAATGCGCATGCTTGCTCATGGAGCAGTGCTGAAATGAGGCCTAAGCTGTCCGTGTGTTGTGTTGGTTATAATCAGCTTTCTTTTGCTATTTTGATTTTCATGAATATAAAGAGCAATTGCTACTTGTATACGGCAAACTTGGAAGATGTTGGAGTAAAGCTAATATTTGACTGATGAAAACATGGTTATTTCATTTTGAGGCAATGGCCAGCACTGACATGACTATTTCTTGATTGCTTAATGACTACCAGTACTGACATAATTAACTTAAGTAACAGCTCTCTGAAAAAAAAGCTAATGTATGTATCTGATTCTTTCAGGAACGTGATAAGCTGTTAAGGTATAGGAAGCAAAGGAAAAAAATGACAAGAATTCCTAAGGTAAAAAAAAAGCTTGTATCATGACTGATGTACCATGCTGATGGGCGTGCTGGCTTTCCGGGGTGCTCCCAGCACCTTGAAGCCACGTGGGGGGACGTTCTTCTCATAGGTCTAGAAACAGGTCGTAATCTTAAATTTGGGTTCAAGGACATTCATAGGCAGTATTGGGATAATTCTGACAAGACCTGGTAGGGGTAGGGGAACCATTTGCATTGCATGTTACAAGCATTAGCATGCTCTGCGGTTACCCTGAGCAGTTTCGGTGTCCCGTGGGACTTCCGTGGTGTGTGATTGTCTTAACATGAGGCAGATTTTGTGAATTTACATATCTCAAAATGATCTTTTAATGGCACTGCCTGAAAACATATGTAGGTTGTAAATAATTCATCATGAAGTTTAGTAACATGCAAAAATTGCTGGTGACAAGGAGCAACGGTTAGAGCTCAGGGAAAAAGAAAATGTTAGTTACTGAATACTTGGCAGGATGTTAATATAAATATTAACACTGTAACGACATCATAAGGTCTAATGCCAGGGACCTGAGAGTAAGCTGTGCCCTACATATGAACAATTAAGGTGGTGATGAAGTTAATGAATCCATAAACAACGAATTGCAGTCAATGTGAGATAACTCCTTAATTCCTGTCACCCTGCAAATGGTAACCAGGCCTTTGAAGGAGAGTTACATTTTGTCTCCTTCAAAAGTTATCCACTGCAAATGAAAAAAAAAGCCAAAATCTAGATATGTTTTTTGAAAATTAACAATTAAAATGTGTTTGAAATGTCATCTTTGACTTTCAAGCATTTAACAATAACTCTTTTTTACCAGCACTACCCTGATTCTTTTAAACAGAAAGCAGATTTGAGTGGAAAAATGGATTTCTTCAAACTGTGAAAACATTGCTGTGGTGATTAACTTCAAATTTTCAAGCAGAATATTTCTTGAAAATCTAACTTTTCATGTGACAGTTGTGGTAATGGCAGGAGGGACATCATGGTGGTGACGATGGATTAACAAAGACATTTCAATGCACAACTCCCACCTCACGCTGAGATGAACACATAAAGAAGTGAAAAGGGTGATCTGCCTTAGCTAGAAAAATCATGAGGAAAATACATTAAAAAAAGGCAGGGGCTTTGAGGTTGCCTTTCATACCTAATAACAAATACGACAATTCCATGATATGAAGTTTTAGCTATTGTTAAAGCACTACCATTGGGATGAAAAAGCTTTACAGAGTACATGTAAAGAACTGGGTGGTTTTTCAAAAAACAATAGAGTGAAAATTACCAATAATTTGGAATTCAGGTTCCTCCAAAGGTGTACATGTTCCTATCCTACAAAGGCACAGGGTTTAGCCATGTGTCCAAAGTTGTTGCTGTTCCCCCTATGCCGTCAGGCTGGCGCAGCTGCTGACACCGCTGCCGCGTGGCACGGCTGCACTCACTGACACCTTGTCTCTGTCAGAAGCCGGTTGTGGAGACATTTTTCGGCTACGATGAAGAAGCTTCCTTGGAGTCTGATGGTTCCTCTATCTCGTATCAAACTGACCGGACAGATCAAACCCCTTGCACTCCTGAAGATGACTTGGAAGAGGTATTCATCAAAAATATGTGTTATTTTGTTTTGAAACCTCACTACTAATTTTTAATGAAATTCCTGGTCTGTTATATCATTCATCACCTCTGACCAGAAAATTAAAAATTTATGTTAAATTTAATACTGTACCTGTTTGTTAATATCTGTGGATCTCAAGTCTTCAGTAATTTCACAACTTTTAGCCAAGCTCGAAATATTATATCCTAAGAATATTAGATTTATAATGGGTTTGTGGGTTAGGGGTCTAAAAAGACTGAGAAGTTGGACAACCCTAGGAAGATCCGTTCACACTGATATTTACTGCAGGTTTATGCACATGTAGTTTGGTTCTATTTGTCATTTTGACCTCAACACAGAGTGCAGCCTTAAGCGATAAGGTTTGTGTTTCTGGGAGGAGAAGTAAGCAGTCACATAAAGCACCAGTCTCCAGAGGAAAGGCTGTTTCCTCACCAGTATATTGAGGTCGTGACTTTTCTGGAGGCTCTGAATGCAGAGTACACAAAGGTAGCTGGTACTACAAATAAAAGTGATTATTCCTGGTGTTTTGCAGGGCTTCCCTACAAATGCATTCCCGAGTGTGTGTCAGATCACTGTGCCATTACACGTTTCTGAGTTTAACAAGAATCTTGTAATAAACAAAAAATTGCTAATAATGACTTGCAGCCTTTTATGGTATGGCTGCAATTTTTCATCTGCCATTTCACCTGTTTCATGGGTTGTAATTAGATCTGTTAAAAGGGAACCTAAAGAATTCCTATCTCCATCATAAAAGATACATGACTGGTTACCAGGTATGTGCTGCACTGCAGGAATCTGATTGTATTTTTATATGTATGAGCCTATTTTTTTTTCATTCCTGTATTGATATTTTTCTCCCTGTTCAGACAGTACGAAGTTTATGCATGCAACCAGCAGTATAATTTCATTTCATGTCGAATGAATTATTCCGGTCAACCTGACATGAAAGCATTCAATGCCGGATATTGTAAGGAGAGTGAAGAAGATGAAGGGCTCTTTTCATGTTGATGTCATCATTTCTACAAGTATTAACTCTAGATTAGTGTTTTAATAATTGAGTGAGACTGTCAGGCTTGGCTTATTCTTCAGATTGGAAACCTTTTGTTGTTTCAAGAAAGTTGTATTTTCACCTTTGAATGTGATGACTTTGCCTGTTACAGTAATAAAGGGCAATTCGGTCACTAGTATGTTAGATGGAAAGATTTTATCTTTCCAAGGTGGGGGGAATTATCTTTTTTTTTTCTCTTGCATTTTCTTGAAGTAAGTGTATGCAAGAGATGTTTAAGGGACAAAAGAGAAACAGTCTGAGGGCACATAAACAAGATCCTTAGTACTGTGCTTCCCAAATTGCATTTTGAAAGTAATAATTTTGGCACTTTTTAGAGAAAGCAAACATAACCCACTCTTATAATATTTTTACTTTCATTGCAGAAAAGCAACTGGTGCAATGCATATTTGTTTTTAATTCCAGGGCATGGCCAAGGAAGAGACGGAACTGCGATTTCGGCAGCTGACGATGGAGTACCAGGCTCTGCAACGAGCATACGCCCTATTGCAAGAACAGGTCGGAGGAACATTGGATGCAGAACGAGAAGTTAAGGTCTAAATGGCTTATATTACATGAAAATAAAGGATTGTAATTGTATGGGGGTTTCCGACTGTACTGGCTCAGGTTGTTTCCAAGCTAAACTGGGGTCAGCCAGCCCCTCCAGCATGCTGCCGGCTGGGAGTGCAGGGCAGGGGACTCAACTGGGCTGGCTGCCAAGACAGGCTTCGGGATTTCTAACTCCCGCCAGCTTGTCTGGCATCCCCCATGAAGTGCTGGTTGGCTGGAGGAACCACCATTACTATGGTTTAGTCTTTTCACCTCTGATCAGTTTAAGAGAAATTCAGAGGGACTTTTAATGGGAAATCCTTAAAGTTAAGCTCTTTTTCTATAAAAATCTAGGACAGATAGCCTTAAATATAATGCTTGGTATTTAATTCCTTCTGGATTCTGTAAGATTACATGATTCCTCATAAAATGTTTAGAAAGCTTATAGCTGAAATTCTTTTTCTTAATTAAATTGCAAAGTGTGCTATGCTATTCTGCCTGCCTATCTGCCTCACATAGCCCATGTGGCTTCAAACATCTGGCATAAAATGTTACGTTTATTATGAGTATGTTGTATATTGCAAGGAGTTGGCCGGACTCATCATGCACAGAATGCAAGGGTCAATACAGTAAATAAAGGGACAAATTCTGTTCTGAGCTAACAGTTTGAAGTTTAATAGGAGAAATGTAACTGCAAAGTCTTAATTTGGCTCTATATCTATTGTGTGAACGTGTTATCCAGGAACGCTTATAGTAGTTCGAGGTAAGGATGATAATGCTGGGAGATACCCATATCATCCAACCTGGTGCCTCCAGTGGGGACACCTCCGGCAGCTGCGGCACAGCACCACGTACCACCGAGCTGTGACTGTCCCAACCACGGGCAATTCCCTGGCCCCAATTAGACATAAAACAAATGGCCAAATTCCTCTAGCTGAAGCCCATCATTACAATAATATTTTGGCTTTCCTAGCTATATAACTAGTCTGGTTTTCTTCAACCGAATTATTCAAAGAATTAACTTCTAATTTCACCACTGTCTCCACTGGTGAGTACCTCTCAGCCACCCAGATTTAGCAGCATCCCTTGTCTCCCAGCGACCTACCTGTTTGGCAATCATAGATACCCTCACGCTCTCTGAATGCTCAAACTGCATTAAAACTAACGTTCCCAGAAGCATGCGCTCTGCTCTGAAGTGTTAGGGATTGCACATGTAAAGAAAATTGTAATGAAACAAGTACATGCCCAGCTTGAAAAGTTACTTGATTTTACTTTTTCCATAGTGAGACAAAAAGAGAGAACGATGCAGGTAATGCAAACATTTTCATTGTAAATAACAGGATAAATAGCAGATAAATGGTTTGAGGAGAGAAAATGTTCTATAAAACAATATTTAACAAATAAACCAGCTAATAATAATTACATTTATTCTCCAGAAAACAAGTGTAGGAAGGTGGTGGATATTTAAATAAGCATGAAGCTACAAGTATAGTAAAAAATTACACACAATACGGTAAGACCATAAGATAGGATACTAAATGCATAAGGAGGAATGCAGTTCGTCAGTTTGTAACGTTACATTTGTAGGGTCTGTTCTGAGCTTTGTAACTCATCAAAAATTTAAAGGAATCAGGTGTGCCCAGAATTGTGGCATAATAATTTTCATTTCTCTTAATGAAGAAATGAATCTTTGCATTACACTGGCTTTTTTAAACACCTTGTTCTAGAATAGGGAAGGCTGCTCACCGCAGACTGTCATAACCAGCTGTAAGAAGCCATTTATATTTTGCTGTCCTACTGTCTACCTAATGGGATGCTGTTTATGTTAATCTTCATTTAAGTCTCAAAATTATTATCCTGTCTTACAGACTTCCTTTTATATTAACGACTAATGCTATGTGTCTGGCTGCAAATTTATTCCGCCAAAGAACTTTAAACATTATTTGTTAAAAGTATTTGATGTTTTAAGTATTTTCTGTATCTGTGTTAGGTTTTGTCTTTTAGAGAAAGTTTGATTTATTATTTTTGTCTTTTTCCCTCGTATCCTACAGACACGTGAGCAGCTCCAAGCAGAAATACACCGGTCTCAGGCTCAGATAGAAGACCTGGAGAAGGCCCTTGCTGAGCAGGGGCAGGTAATACATGCGGCCAAACACCGGCCCTTTCTCCAGCCTTCGTGCTGGGGGCGGGAGGGGGCTCTAGAAACGTGCGTGTTCATGTTAGCGTATAATACTGCAGATGCTAGTGAGTGTCTACGTATGTATAGAATAATCCTGGTGCAACTTTTCAATAGCTGTTTCATTTCATACAAAGCAGACATACTAGGGAAGCAATTACCATCCCTGCCAACGTGCGCTGTAGTGACCTACCCTGCACAACCCCCATCACCACTGCACCCCTGATTTAGGAGACGTTAATGTAACCTGCCAAGTACTATTTCAATAAACATGTCAATTAATTGAAAAGAAAGCACTTAATACATGTGGTCTAGTTGGTTTCAAGGAGAGTGAGGCATGCAAGGGCTTTTGAAAACGCCTCTCTCCACATTTACATGTGTTAGTATCTCAAACATCAGTCCCCAAAGCCCTGAGTCCCCATTAGTGCTTACATGCTAACTCCTGAAGTCAACACCCATTAAAGCCCCATATATCTTTGCTGATCTCAGCCTTAATGCCTCACTTGCTCCGGCGTAATGGAGAGAACAGCAGACAATGCCTGCGTGAAAGGATCTGTGATGCACAGATGCTACAGTAAGGGAAAGCAAAGGTCAGCTGGTAAAGGGGTGCCTGAATTCAGTACATGTACAGCTGTGAAGTCAAAACGAGTGCGATGTATCTATAGGACATTGAGAATTTCTCTGCACAGCTGGAGAGGAATTGAATTCCCATGCTCATTGTCACTGCCTGAAGTCCCAAAGCACAGGGTCTGTTTGGCATCCAGCTGACAGCCGTGCCCATCAGTCCTCCTCTATCCCTTTACTGTCCCGACCTTAAAATTGCTCTCTGTTTTTTTATTATGCATCTCCTGAAAATTAAATCAGTGAATAACAGGTCAGTTGCCTTATCAATTTGAAGACGTATATAACTACGAGAAAGTATTATGGTAAAGAGAGGAAACAATTGTGTTTGGCAAGAAGTTGGTCTACTTTAAAATCTCACAGACCAGCAGTATTTTTAATACCTAGGAGAAAATTGGGAAGGTAAAATAAAGGAAGAATATTTGTTTTCTAATGAAATGTTTATTTAGTGAATGTAAAAGTAAGCTTTCCTTGCCAGCAGTTTTCCTTGTAGCTCCACAAGATTTTACTTTCTTAAAAGGAGAAAAGCAGGCGTTAAATTAGAAAGTGGTTAAACATTTCAAGGGAAGGAGGAAGTGCACAGCATAGGCTATGTATTTTCAGCAAAAACAAGGTAGTTCTCATCATGTGAAAAACTTTGCTATGGATGCTTTCTTTAAATTCAGAGTAAATTTGTGTATTAGGACTATTTGAAGTGTCCAATTCAGCTGTTTGTGTAGTTCGCCATGCAGCCTATTCATGCAATAGCTTGTCAAATCACCTCAGTCATTCTTTCAAAAAGGATTAATTTGAAATACAATTGAATAATCTACAAAACTGCACTCTAGGAAATTTAGTCTAAATGATTAACATGAAGCACATCACATTCAACCAAACATCTACAGAGCTCTGCCTTTTTCATCCCATCAGGCATTATTAAGATGTCTTATTTTTGCTTTGATGTGGTAAGGCTTACACTTGGTAATTTTCATTTCTGAATTCACTGCAAGGTGTCTGCTTTTGCATGACTGACTCATTCAAGGCTGGCTCGGTAGTCTGTCATCTTGGTCTGACCTTGAGATTTCACTCTGCAAAGCCAGCCCCACTCGAGGTCTTGGCAGGTTTGGGTGCCACTGCAACTTTCGGTGGGTGACATTCAGCCCCTGGTACAGACTGCATTATACTCCTGGCTGTTGCATGCCATTTGGATCTCTTTGGACTGCAGGGCTGAGGTCTAAATATTTGCCATTCACATACATCCTTGCCTACCTAGAGTTAGAAAATTCTCCCTCGTAATGTTCCTCAAACAGAAAAGGCATTATGGCACTAGGAGTTTCTGCTTTCCTGCCTCCAGAGCCGAGTGGCTCTGAACACTCACAGCGCAGTCGTGTGGTCCCTCGGATGCAGGAGGATCCTGCACCCAAGTCCACACCACCGAGATCGGGGAGCATCCTGGCAGCAGGGTGGCAACTCAAGCCAAGCATCTCTACTCTACCACGCAACACCCTCCTCCTCATGGCTCGGGTGAACTCGTCAGTCCTGGCACCGAGGTTACACAGTCCAGAGATGTGCATAAAGTAGAGTAACACAGGAAAATGTTAAAAGGAAAGTGCACCTTAAATTGGAAGAGTACAGCGTTTAAAACCACCTCGCACGCTGGCATCCAAAGGTGATAAAGAAACAGGCACACCTCTAGCCTTGGGATAGCCTTGAGAATGAGATATTGCAGACTGCAAATATCCAACCCCCAGTTGGAAATACAAGAAATGTTCCCAGGCTGCTTCTAGCTTGTGTCTTACTTTTCCAGGAAAAAAAAAAAACAACCCTCCTCCCAAAAAAACAAAACCAGAAACATGAAATGTTTTTTGAGAACTTTAAAATATTACCTTTCCAGCTTAACCTCTTATTATTGTTAACCTCACTGATAAATAATGTTCTGGGTTTTGTGCCTTTTATATATCCATCAGACTAAGAATTTAGTTTCAAAATAAGGTTTATTTTTCCTAGTGTTCAGAAATATGTAATTTATATTCAGTATAACTGAAATTTAATAGTAACTGCATAGCTAGAAATACCCTTCTAATGCAAACCAATCTTTTATCTGAAAGTGGTTTTTTAATCATTTGAGTGTTTCTATTCCATTTGTATACTACAGACTGTTAAAATAAGACAGGAAGGGTGAGCTTTCATATCATAGGAAATAATGGAATTACAATTTCATATGCAATATTATTCTGTCCTTCTTCTCTAGATGTGTGATTTAATGAAATACTTGCTACTGTGTTTGTGCTAAACATTGCCATCTTCACCTACAATATTGGTCATTTCTTTTTCAAGGACATGAAGTGGATTGAGGAGAAGCAAGCGTTGTATAGAAGAAATCAAGAACTGGTAGAAAAGGTGTTCAATGTTTCCATTTGTATTATTCAAGTAATATTTGTATCTTAAGGAATGCAGAAGGTGCAATATTTTAATCTGTATCACACAGCTCTACTGGAAATAATTCACGTATAATAACAAGATCCTTATAAACCTGCCAGAAAAGGTGGTTTTTTGGCATTCTCTATTGCCCCATAAAATGTCCTGGTGTGAGGTCATGTGAGGATGTGGTTGTGGGGAAAAGCCCCATGTTCCCCCAGCGCTGTGCGGTGCCCACTTGTGCTGACCCCAGGGGTGGGCTCAGACCTTCCGTGCTCGCGCTGACCCCGGCGTTTCCCCGGCATGGTCAAAGTGCGGCGGATCTTGAGTGACACTCTGCAAACGGTGCTAACACATGTTGCTTTATTTTGCAGATAAAACAAATGGAAGCTGAGGAAGCTCGCTTAAAACATGATGTCCAGGACGTTAAGGATCAAAACGAGCTCCTGGAGTTCAGGATCTTAGAACTTGAAGTGAGCACGTGTTGCAGCCACGGTCCTGCCCGCCTGCCCTGGGCTGCGCGAGCCATGGCCAGGGGCACCGCGGCTTTGGGAACTCTCCCACGTTTACTGAACAAGACCAAAGGGTTTGGTACAAAGTGCTAATGAAAGAGGAAAAAAAACCCAAACAAACACTCAGGGACCAATACTGGTATTCTTGATAGGTTGTTCTGGCAGTCTTACTACTTAAGTAATTTTAAGATCCAGAAGATTGGCTCATGATGTAGATACACATTTTGCTATACTCCATCTGTTCTGAAAATGCAAAGAGATAAAACCAGAACAGATCATACATGGGAAAGAAAAAGGAACTTTTTTTTCATTGCCAAAAATCATTGCTGTGTTTCACCTCTTGCTAAACCTGCAGAGGAGTCACATGGCCTAGACCGCTCTGTTTACTCCACTGAGCCTTCTGTTTTCTGTATCATTACCTGTATAAACAGAATCTACAAGCTCTTGGAAACTGTTTTCCAAATTCTCCAGAAAGATATTAACAAAGCAATCACTTACAAAAAAAAAATTAATTGCTATTTATGTTATACTATGTGTAAGTGTATAGTTTTGTTCAAATATATTATGTAGTCAAAATAATAGGTAAGTGGTCATAATCAGTGCCCAATGAAGAAACATGGTGGGAAAATGTTAGCACTGTTAATATGTACGTCTACCCTGCTTTGCAGTGAGGTGAAGGTCTTCCCTGAGTACCCTCACAAAAGCACATGGTCTGGCCAGAGAAATGGCTCTTGCACATGGCTGTTAGTGTCAATAGCTACAGGATGCAGGAGGAAGGGTTTCTGTGCTCTGTGCACCCAGAATGAAGCCACTCTGCGATAGCATTGCTTTGCAATGTGTTCAGTTAGAGTGAACCTTTTTCAAACCATATTTATCAAGTTCTTGGTGAAGCTGCCATTTGTGACATACTGTAGTGGGTAACCAAGCAATTATTGTCATTTCTCAGGAGAGAGAAAGACGATCGCCTGCCATCAACTTCCATCACGGTCCTTTTACAGAGGGGAAAAGCCCTCTCCAAGTCTACTGCGAGGCAGAAGGTGTAACAGTAAGGGATTCTCGTTTCGTACTTTCCTTTCCCTAAATAAAATCAGACGCTCTGTTGTGACTCCTGGTTTTCCATTTCTCTCTTGTTAGGACATAGTAGTAGCAGAGCTGATGAAAAAATTGGACATTTTAGGGGATAACGCCGTAAGTGTATGTTCCTTTAATAAATTGTGCATGCTTTGGTAAATATTTGTCCTCGTGTTAAGTTAGCAAAGCCTTCTTGGTTTGCTACTGCACAACCTGTCCTCCCTGTGGTCAAAGTACTGGCCTACGAGCTAAGCGTTTCCTGGCTTTTTAAGATTTTGTTAATAGCCTTCTTACCAGTGCCATGTGCAATCTTGGTGTCACAATATCGCTTTTAAATTTTCAATGATTTGGAAAATATTTTGAAACTTTGGTGTTTTTTTTTTTCCTGGTCACTGTCCACATGGTTTATTTATTTGCTTACTCTGCATTTGCTTTGCTTTTGCATTTTAGCAGCTGTGTTTTAATTTTGTCTAATAACCCATAAACCTTTGATAGAAACTAAGATATTAAACAAAAAGTTACAACAGCAGCATGAAAAGAAGAAACAGATAATAAGAAATTTGAAAGCATTTCTTCTTTAGCAAATGGAAGTGATTAATTATACCTATAGTTATGTATATAGAAGATATATATGCCCTTGTATATTTTTTTCCTGTACTCTCATCTATCAGCAGAGCCACAGCCCCCCGTGGCTGTAAGGGGCAGAGGAGAGCAGAGGGTCTCACAGAGCCCTCGGCCGCTGCGGGGCTCCTCCCTGGGAGAACTCCGCTGCAGACATCAGGTCTGCAGAAAGGTCCCCACCGCTCTCACAGCTCCTCACCTGAGCTGCCCCAGCTCTCCCCCCTGCCTCTGTACAGTTTGGATACCAGCAAAAACGCCATCCCCAGTGCCATGGGGGCAGCCTGGAAGTATCCCTTGTCCACCTCTCCAGTTAGACCAGCTGGGTCATCATACCTCCACCGTCCCCAGTCTCTGATACCTACACGCTCTGCCCCACAAAATCAAGCCAGAAGTTAGTGGAGGAGCTGAAACACATTGAAGCAATTCATAATCTTCACGACTGCTGCAGTTAATGATATTCACACTGGCAGAAATATCAAGAATCCTGAAATCTTTTGTGTGCAAAGAATGAAAAAAAGATATGTGTAAGCTTAATCACCAATGAGTTAAGACTGACCCTACTAATGTGTGGAAAGATAATACCCATTAATCTCTTAATGCCTGTGCTAATGTTGTCTTGAATGGCATTATCAATGTCAGGTTAGTCCCGTGCAGAGTGTTTTGGGACAGAATCCCAAGCAAGCAACTTGGAGACAAACAGGAACAGAAAAAGTTATAGTTTTTCTCACATTTTCTATTCCCTTTCTTTTCCTCTTGGCTTCTTTACTTATATTAACGGTCTCTAGTCTATAATGTTATTTCCTCCTGATTTTTTTTTTCCTATTACATACAAGAAGTTAATTCCAGATGCAACTCAAGGGGGACTTCGAAGTTCTCACCTCATATAGCTTTAAGATAACTGTAGACTGTTGTTATCGCTTGGTTTTTTCTTGTTTTCACATGTTTAACATAACAGACTCAGCCACTGACGGCAGACTCTGCCCCATGGGTGCATGTTGTCATGTCTGGCTGTTAGGGAGTCTGGGAAAGTGAACCTGTGTCCCGCCTGTGTGCAAGTGATTCCATCCTTTTCTCACTTTACTCACATTTTCTCACTTGCATTTCTATAAAGCCCCCCTGGCAGCTTCTAGTTGCTTCCCACTGAACTGTCATGAGTTAAATATTGCTTTGAGTAAGGCAAACCCTTGAGAGAGTACCTCTAGGAGTAGAGCAGAAACAAAGGTCAGAGGGGTGCAATACATCCCCTGCAGCCCAGGCGGTCACTGGGGACAGGCACAGAGAAAGCGGGGCTGAGGAACACAGATGCCCTCCTCTTCCCCACACACAGGGGAACTATGTCAGGGGATAACTCATAGAACAGGAAAGAACACTGTTAATATTCTGTGTGGATGGGTTCATTTTTAATGTAACATAACTTGTTTTGAAAAAAAATTACTTACATTTATGGAAGAGACAATTTTCAGGGGTCCTCAGGAAAGGTCTCTCCCATCCCTGCTGGATAGCACTTTCACTGTCCTCAACCTTGTGCATTAAATTGAAGTTCACCATAGTCACCCTTCTTACCAACTTCCTAATTACCCTGTGGGAATGATAACACATGGAGACTGGCCCATCTTCCTGTACCTGACAGCTGAGGGTCAGACTCGGCTCTCTGGATCTGAGCAAATGTGGGTCCCAAACTAGAAGTATCCGCTTTTGCTACTGTAGATGTGGCCAGAGTAAGACCGAGGTTTGGGATGAAATGCAAAACATAGTTTCAGTATTTTCATTAAAAACCAAAACAAAACAAAACAAAAAATTAATTGAAAAACTAACATCTTAACAAGTGTTTTCCAAAATCATCACTTTTGGCTGTGCAGAGTAGGATCATGTATTAACCTACTGTGCATATAACGGAACACAGAGGACTTAAGACTGCATCTCTTTTCTTAATGGCACATTGTGCTGAGCTTGATTTTGTCTTGTGTAACTGTGTGTTTATTCCCAGTTGGGGAAAATAGATCCAGTGTCAACATCTTTTTTTTGGTAAATGTCAGAATTTTTAGAAGAATTAACTATATGTATAATAACAATTCAGCATGAATTTACAGTTGTTTTTACAACAATGTTGCATTACAATGCTAATTTTCTTTGCCTTATTGTTTATTGTTCCTCGAACATATTTAACTTCATATTTATTTAACACAGCAGTAGCCCAAGTAGTAGGTTAATAACAAGACACTGGGATTTGTTGTAATTATATTCTGCTTTTGGTGCAGAATCTGACCAATGAAGAGCAAGTAGTTGTCATACAAGCGAGGACAGTTCTCACGTTGGCTGAAAAGGTAATAACAACTGCATCACTCATCAGTAAACGCGTGTCATGAAAGAATCTGACCCTCTCAGAATAGCTCACTTGAAGACACTGGTGATGTAAATGATAGTTTCATCACAAAATGCCCTGATTCTTTATGTGAAATTACACTTACACTAGTTTTTGTCAAAATAAAGGCAACATTCAGGCAATACAGACAGACATTGCTTATTTTGAAATGTTACTTAATTAGCAAAATGATGTTAGAAGGTAAACAGCTAGGCTTTGAAATCATGCTTTTTTCCATCACCAGTATATATAAAAGAAAAGATGTAATAATAAAGTTAATTTTTCCTCTTTTATTTAGTGAATGTAAATAAGTACTTGCAGCGTGTGCTGACACACCCTAATGTCACAGTGAAAGCTGAATACGCAGGCGTGCTGCCTCTGCTCTTTAGGCTTAAGCACCTGATCTCTGTTTTTATGCACAGTGGCTACAGCAGATAGAAGTGACGGAGTCTGCGCTGCAGCAGAAGATGCTGGATCTTGAGAACGAAAAGGTACAGAGAGACAAGGGGAACGAACTGGTAGGAGAGGCAGCAGGAAGAGCAGTCGCGTTAGGGCCGCGGCCGTTGCACTGATTGCCTCTTCCTTGTGTCTCCAGGAGCTGTTCAGCAAGCAAAAGGGCTATCTGGATGATGAGCTCGACTTCAGGAAACAGTCCTTGGACCAAGCCCACAAGGTGAGGAAAACCAGTCTTGACTGAATTATGCCATCTTGATTAACTTACGTTGTGTAATATGTGTAGTCTGTTGTTTATAGAAAAACTCCCTGCTCATGGAGTGACCTGAGGACTAAATAGGCTGAATTTTAAACAAACCATCTATACCCTGAGCTAACAGTGAGTTCCTTATGAACCAAGCTCCTTGCGTTTGCATGGTCCTGGTAGGATTGGGACCCAAATACTGATTTAAGAAACACAAGTTGTAATTTAGAAGTAGTTTTGGTAAATGACTGATAAGAAAATGATGTTTTCAGTAATTTCTCTTTTCCTTCCAAAATAGAGATTTTGACCTAGACAGCCTCTGTAACCAAAACAGCTAGAGATATTATGTGATTCTGTAAATTTGAAATGAAACTGCTTTTAGGTCAGGTTCATCATGACCTGATCCTAACCCATTTCATCCATCTCTTTAGTCATCACGGTCTTGTTCCCTTTAGTCAGAGAAAAGTTCAATATATGCTCATGAAAGACATAAATGCATGAATTTTCATATCTATTTATCTCATTCTTTCAGTTCCATTTAAATCTTGAGCACAGCTACACTTTCTGAGGAGCAATGAGTATTTATGCCTCTTTTTCTGGATACCTGTTATCTATTCATATCTCAAACCATTTGGGGGAGCTTTTACTCAGTACACTTTCCGTTCCTGTAAGGATGATTTTTAAGACTGATTTTGCCAAATGCTGAGCTATATCTGGAGCCAATGTCTATGCACAGTGGAAACCCTGGAAAGTACACAAGCCCCTCTTACCTGCAGTCTTAGCCCTAACACCAGATTATCTCCTGCAGCCTTGAGCTGTTCTGAGAAGCAGTTTGGTGCAGCCAAAGGCTGAGCCTGTAGGATTCATCTTCAAAGATAAGCCCTGAGAGAGAGGTGATCCTCTGGGTCTTGGGTGAGTTCTGAAACAGATCCATAAATCAGAGTATGCAGAAACTTGCAACAGCAGCAGAGTGGGAAAAATCATATGGCATCACTTGAAACTCCTGGTAACATCATGGAGTCTGCAGAAGAGCTCGGACGCAGAGCCGTGGCTGTCGATTAGGGTGTTACTCAGCACCCTTGCGGCTCATAGCCAGCTGCTCGCTCTCCATCCATGAGATGGATCTCCAGTTCCAGGATCTCAAATTTGCCAAAGAGTCCAACAACAACTACCTGCTCCTTGGCAATGCTGCTTGTGGAGAAGGAATGAGTGTAATGAATGTGTTGCAGCCCATGCAGAAGTAGCTGAGGGTTATTTGCACTTTCCTGTATTCTTTGAATGCATCACATGAGTGTCCCCAGGCAAAGCGATGGGCTTTACTCCCAGGCACAAGTGCAGCCTGAAAGCAGCAAGAAAGCTTTGTTCTGCCCTGAAATTCAAGTGGCAAAAGCTCTTTTGATTTCTATAATTTGTTTCACTTCCATGTTTCCTTTGTGCCCCTTGAGATGAGGAGTCACTAATCTTCCCCTGCTAACTGCATCCAACAAGATTACCAGCTGTAACCGCTAAGCTTTTTGCACGGTTTTCACTCCCTTTGGTTGCTCCGAGAAGCACTTGGCTCACACAGAGTCTCCTGACACTGCTGCCCCTCTGGAGACCATGAATTTCCGCAGGCTCTTCTTTCTTCACAAGTCAATATAATCAGAGAGGGATAACAGTTGTATAATCGAGGTTTGGGGCCCAACAGAAATCCATGTTTCAAATAACAGCATTTTGTTGAGACAGTTACGGTTAGCAAGGATGTTGGCGTTATTTTTAAAAGTGAAAGCAGAATCTTCTTCTGAGATCTGATCTGATCTTCCCCACAGAGATACCATGGCTGCTGTCTTTCAGTTATCATCAGTATCTATAACTCCTGCCATGATGTTATTATTCTTGTAAATGCTTGTATTCTTCTGTCCTGAGTCTGTTAAAAGATAGTAAGAAAACCCACCAGCATCCTCAGGTGGAAAAAATTGTCGATTTTGAATTGAGCTGAATTATCACAAGAGACATCTGTGGCATTTTCAAACACTCTGTCTAGAGGTTCAAGACGCACTATTGCAGCAGTCCTGTTCTCCTGAAGCTATGGAGAGCTCTGCAAGAGGCCATCAGCTTTGGAGAGGGTGTGCAAAGGGGCCATCATTTGCTGCTTTGTCTCTTGCTCTATATCAAACTTGCTGAAAAAGATTTTGTCTTGTTTTTGGCTTGCATGAAGGAATAGCATTCATCTTGGACTTTGAAGCAGAAGTCACCTGCCCTAGGAGAGTACCAGGCTCGGTGACTCTGGGGAAATGTTGTCAATCTTCCATATCTCAATAAATCTGGAGGGTACATCGGTCTTTGTGCAAGAGAAATTTTCTGATGCAGTGAAGTAAAGGCTCTGCAGCCTGAGACTGCAGGAACAGAGCCCAGCTACCACATATATTTTTCCTGAGCATAAAGCCTCTTGGAGCTGACAGCTCTGCCAGAGGAAGTGCTGGAAACGCCTTCACACGGGGCATTTTAAGCTAGTTGGTACAAAATGCTGCAAGCACACAACGGAGAGTCATTCCTTTCTGGCAGGAGTATGACCTGGTGCTGCCATATCCTCTGCTGCTGTGAACAGAATAGCTGGGAAAGGTGAACTGAGAGACTGAACATTACATTTAAAAAATATCTGTAACTCACAAAATAAGTCTTTTAAAATCCCTTTCCTTTTCTTTTTTTCCTTTTTCCCTTTTCTCTCCACAGCCATCTCCCTATCTCCAGAAAGGAGAAGTTGACACCCATGTATTTTTTGAGAGGCAGACTAGGCTAGGCCCAGGGGCTGTCCCAGTTCCAGTGCTGCTCAGAGCCCCACAAGATAAAAGCAGCCTGAAGTATTTTCCCCCTGGACTGAGTTTTCTGCACTGTCCTGTGCGGTAGGCTCAGCACACAACCCCTCTACTGCTCCCACTGCCTTACCGGGGTTTTCAGTTCCTCACAAAATCCTCATCGGACCAGAGACAAGGTCAAGCTGACAGCCTTATATTGTTTTTGATTAGCAAATTCTGGAATTAGAAGCCATGCTCTATGATGCCCTGCAGCAAGAAGCTGGAGCCAAAATTTCCGAACTTCTTTCAGAAGAGGAGAAAGAGAAGCTGAAGAGCGCCGTAGAGCAATGGAAGCGGCAGGTGATGAGCGAGCTCCGGGAGAGGGACGCCCAAATCCTGCGAGAAAGGATGGAGCTCATTCAACATGCACAGCAGGTAGGCGCCGGTGCACGGGCACGGTGAGATTCAGGGTGGGACGGTCCCTCAGACGGAAACGTAATGAACTTGTGAGCACCAGCCTCTCCTCATAGAGCGGTACCAGAAATGGCTGGTCCTGGGGCCAGATTTTTATTTGCCTTGGATAATCCCTGCAAACAGGGCATTTTGATTTTTATAAATTTGTCACGCATAGTGACGTTCACGGAGGACTCATCTACAGCTTAAACCCAATTTATTTTTTTTAGAAGCACAGCACATACAATTTATATCTCCAAAAATAATGCATCTTCTGGGTACATCTGTATTTGGTTGGTTAATAAATATTTTTTTATTTGAAATCTGACAGAGAATTAAAGAGCTAGAAGAAAGAATTGAAGGCCAAAAAAGACAAATAAAAGAGTTAGAGGAAAAGGTAAGGTAATGCAGATGAAACAGTTATTGTATGTGCACATGACCATATATTCATTTCACCTTGGCTAAAGAAAGAATCTTATAAAAAGTTTGTGTTTGTTAGTGCAGTGAGCTAATGTGAGAGTGCTCCAGGAAACCATTTTGCATTTGCATTAGTCCCTCTGAGAAGGAAAGGTTACCAGCTTAAATTGAGTCTTTCCTTCTGTTATCCTTCAGTAAAGCCTGAAACACAGGACTTGGCAAGGATGGAGGGGTCCATCTGCCCTGGGAATGGAGTGATGAAGAGCTGCTGGATGGCAGCGGGGTGAGGTCTCGCACATGCTCCCGGAAGGAGCCAGGGATCTTTTCTCCCTGCCGTCTCCAGCATTTGCACGTGCAGCTGCACTGACCTGCCTTCCCCAGAGGGAATGAGGAAGCTCCCTCTCCCCTCCTCTCCTCTCCTCACTGGCAGCCACAGCAGTCACCTGTCACCATGGTTAATGTCATCGAGCTTTCTCCGGTCAAGTCATAACTGTTGAATTTTACCCTAAAATTACTCTCATCTGAAACCATCTATTTCTAGTGAAATTGCCATGGGAGAACTAGTTCAGGTACAATAGGGACTGAGCTGGACTTTCACCTGAAACTAAGCCCAAACCTTAGCAGTGTGGGTTTGGGGGTTTTTTTGAGGTGTCAGAAGAATTCAGCTAATTTTTTTCCTGACCTCTTGGCTGCAACTGGGCTGGGCTCCGCTGGGGCAGGAGACGACTCTCATCAGTCCGAGGGTTGCTGGGCTCTGGCTGAACTGAGCTGATCCCCGAGCCCTCAGAGCTTACTTCACACTTTGTATTTCTTTTCAACCAAGAGTTTTGTTGCACTCTGTCTGTAACCACGGCTTATTTCTCAGCTAAACACACTATAAACTCTTATTCTCTTTCTTCTCTTCCATTTTTTCCTCTCCTCCCTCCCCTTTTCAGTTTTTATTTTTGTTTTTATTTTTCTCTTTAGCTTTCATTCTTTGGTCATAGTCCTTCAGGCCACACACAAAAGGTAAGCCCTGGGATCACCTCTGGTCTCCCCTCTTCTTCTTGTTAAGCATCAGAGCCTTCCCCTTGCTGCTCAGGCTTCAGCAGCATTGTGGGGGGTCTCCTGGGTGCCCCAGATAACCCAAAAATGGAAATCTCTAAAGCCACTGCTCCTTCTCCCCGCATGGATGCGCTGTCTGACATGTTTACAGATGGATTAAACCCCTTGCATTATCTTGTCCTGTCTTCAGGCTAAAAAACCAGAATGCCTTGTGGGGGGGACATGTCATTTACAAATGTGTGCTTCTCCCAGCATCATGCCTTAAGGCACTAGATATTGCCCAACCCCACATTTTTTCCCATGTCAATAGGAGATAAAATGCCAATCTGTTTGTGCTTCCAGAGATGGTAGAAATTATCACGTCATGGATGGCATTGAGGGGAACATTCCCTATTAGTCATCAAAGTCAACGGAATACAACACAAATCCTTTTTTATCAGTTGTACAATTCAAACACATGCTTACAAATATAAACTTTACAGAAATTTCATGCATGTTATTTTTGCCCAGATATACTTTTTTTGATCCATATTTTTATGTATTTCTCTTGTTTCAGCCTACTGAAGAAGCTAGAATTGCTTCTACTGTTATTAACAGGAAGACAGCACTGATTACCAAGACAGAAAAAGAGACATTGCCATTTCAAAAACCCCAAATATCTCTCATATTTTGCTACTGGCGATGGAAGATGCAATATTTCTGACCTTTTCAGACTGAAGCTGAACTAGGGTATGTGGAAATTTCTGCACAGGTGGTGTCTGCACCCCTGTAACCTCTGACTGAGCATTTTGAAAAGCTAGAACCAAGCTGACAAAGAAGAAAGCCAAAAACCCCCTCCCTCTCCTACAGCCACAGACTCCTTCCTGGAGTCCTGGCTTTGCTGCTTGAAATAGCTCTCAGCTTTACATAAGGAGCAGTATTCTAATTCAGATAAACTGAATATATTTTGGTTCCCTGCTAAGCAGGTAGTAAATTGCTTCTCTGTAGAAGTGACCGTGTCCTGTTTTATATTTCACACATTTATATTTGTTATTCATAGTTATTTAAAAATCTGTCTTGAAAGAAGATTTTAGGAAGAGTTGCAGAGGAGTAACTCATGAAAAGATAAATGTATTTCTTCACAACACAGGGTATGTCCAATGGTTGGTTGCATATCCCACAAGCCCAATTTTAGGGAAAAACGTGAAGCTATGTTTGAACCCTTCAAGATATCAAGTTGTAATTTTGGGGCTAATTTTCAGTAGACCATGGCTCACAGCATGATGAGAAAAATGGCACAATAATTTATAATTTGCTGTCCCTAAATGATGACAAAAGACTTAATATTGTCCCAACAAAAAGTTCAACCTGGAAAAGAGTGAGTGGAAAGCATGTTATCTCTGATCCGCACGCTCTGGGCTGGGGGAGGCAGCAAAAGGGAGCAGAAGATTTTATCACCTGGAGGCAAGGGAACACAAGTACCACAGAACCCGAGCCCAGGAGGCTGGTGCAGGAGCCAGGAAGGAAAAATGGATCCTCTAGAAAAACAGGTGAAGGAGGGAAAATCCAGAAGAAATCCCACCAGTGTGAGTCGCAAATGAGAACTGCAGCTGAGCGCACAAACCCGGGGCTGTCGAGGAAGGGCAAGAGCAAGCTCCCGTCCACAGCTTCCCACAGCTGTGGTGTCACGAAGGTCCTCGAGGCGCAGGATGTGGGTGGGAACTCCCCGTCCCTTGGAAGCACAAGGCAGGAAGCAAAACCAGAGCTCCTGACAGGTAAGACTGATTAACTGGAAACCAATTTATTGTATAATTATATATACTATGTAACTTCCTTTGCATGGCTGTTAGTCCCTCTTGCTCAAGTTAAAATGTTTCTGATGATAATGCAGAGAAAATTTTGAAATGAACAAAGACTTCATGTAAACATTATTTATTTATCTATCTATCTTTTACTTTAGTAATTTAGGGATTGAATTTCAGTATGATATAATCAAAAATGCTAACTTTATTTCTTTAGATCAGTGGTCACTCTTAACAAAAAAGTACTAGGAGGTAATGAAATACACTGTCAAATTTGTATGAACAGCAAGCAGTTGTGCTACTTTAAAAATGTATATTTTAAATGCAATAGATTAAAATAATTTTCGTTTTGGACTGAAAAGACAAATAGTATTCAGAAAAGTATTTTAATTCACAATTTCACTTACTTTTTTTCTAATTTATGCTGGTAATTAGTTACTTGGCTGGTAAAACATGACGGGGACAGTAGCAGCAGTCAGTGGATCTGCTTTAAAGGAGTAATTGTCTCTCTGCACTTCATCCCATCAGTTTTCTTTTTTTTTTCCCCCAAATAGTTTTTCTAAGCAGAATGTCTATCAAATCTGAGTTTGAACATCTCTCAGATCTTAAGCGTTTGACTGCAGGTTATTGATTTGCTGCTTTAGATAGGATTGCTGCTTTTAAAATCAATCAGACATAGAATGTCTACATACAGAGGGATGCATTCAGGGAGTCTTAGAAATTATTTGTCTTACGTGGTGCTCGCTAATGTAATTTGTGGTCAGGGTTAGATTTGACGATGCCCTTTCTTCTTCAAAACTTGCAGTTGTACATCTCAGCCCTGCTAGTTTTTAGAGAGGGGTCCAAACCCTTCGTTCTGTCAGTGTCACGCCAGTCTCCGAGGGGCTGGTGTTTCCTGGGCAGTAAGATCAATGAGATCTATGCATTTAGTAACCCAAAAAAGAACCTTAATGCAGTCAAAGGAGGGAAATAGTTTAAATCAGGAAATGGTTGAAATGAGTATATGACAATGGGAGGGCTTTTTAAAAACCAGAACAGGTTTACAAAGATGGTAAACTGAAACCGAGAAGAAAGACTTACCCAAGTCTTTCTTTCATGTGAGACGTGGCGTGAGCCTTTCCCGGAGCGTTGGCAGGAGGGTGGTTAACCTCCAAGTCTCAGACTGCTCCACCTTGCTATGTAGAGGCATTTCAGACACTTGCTAAAGCAAAAATTAAGTGCTCACACATGGGGTTGGCAAACTTATAGGCTCTGAGTTGGTATACCTTAATGTGTGCTTATTATTAGAGGCTTTCAGGATAATACCGTTATTATACCCTTAACACACCTACACGTCCGTGTTTCAGCAGTGCTCATCACACCGCTGCACGATCTCCGGGCTACGACAAAGGGCTGAAGCGGTGGGTGGGAGCTGGTGCGGAGCAGGCTGTGGCGGGCTGCGCCCCAGCCTTTCCCAGCGGGGTGCTTGGTGCAGCCCGGGATGTGCTGGAACGTGCTCCGGAGAAATGAGAAAGGAAGGGAGAATTATTGAATGGGGATCACGGGCTGTGAGCGACACAGGGTGCTGGGGACAACATAGGACAGTGGCGTCGGAGGCGACACTGGCGCAGGAGGCCAGTCAAGGTCCAACGAGTGCCTTTTTCTGGCTTTTCTTAGTTTATGACTGCTTTATGCCAAGCTGTAGAGAAACCCATCAGCGGGATCAGCCACCGGAGGGTGCTGCAGGCTAAAGGAAATTGGAAATAGCGTGTACTGTAGGGTGATAAACTGCTGCTTTATGGGCTGTTTTGTTGTTTTAAGCAGTTTTAGGAAGTTGCTTTAGGCAGTTACCTATCTTAGTTATTTTTCAGTGTATGTTTAAGTCATACTGGAGATCGGAGACTCCCAGGGATAGGTAGCACTTGCATATTTCCAAATAAATAAGTTGTCAGTTAAACTAAGAGAAACTTTTCTTGATACTAACTTTTGCATTTATAGAAGGGCTTGAGCATCCCAAAATTTGTAATCTTTTTCCTAATTATCTTATTTTAATAAAAGAAACATTTATTATAACTCTATTTGATATTTGTTTATTCAAAAGAAATAACATCTCATAAAGATAAGTAGCATTTTTAAAGAATTCTACTTGGAAACTGTACATTACTGTTCTGTGACACAAACCTGCCGTTTCTTCTCTTTATGTCAGACATAGAAGTAAGTTCTGCTGCAGCGGCCATTAACTGACAAATGCAGTAATTAGTGTCTCCTTTTTGAAATATGCAAATAACAGAGCATTAGGCTCTAAGCTAAAGCAAATGCATTTCTGTTCTTCTGTAATGAGTTGAACCACATACAGACATCTCAGGAGCTTCCAAAAAAAAAGAGACATAACTTGCTGAAGCCCAGGTTTGCATAAGGAAAATCTGTGCTTAATGCACAAGCTTGTAGTTGAATGCACATGCTTTGGGAATTCAGCAGCACGTGTCTAAGCATATATTCAGTCAAATCCTAAATGAACGTTGGGAGTTACATCCCAGCATTAGACTCACATTTCATATATCTGGCCAAAAGTCTTTCTGGCTTCAGGAGAAAACCCGTAAGACCCTGCATATCATCAGAAGGAAACCTGTCCCTCAGGTTGGAATGGCTCAGGACATGATGCTATTGGGTTTCAGAAGATAATTTTCCTTGTTCCCCACTTTTTTGCTGTCTACAAGCTTGCTGTCCTGCTCCCCTCGACCTCACGAGGTGTGTACACCCCTCCGGTCTGTGGCCCCATCCACCACCCCGCAGGAGGTGGCTACTGACTGTGCCATTCCCCCAGCCTCTTGGGGGAACCCCCCATGGTCCCAAAGGCTTTCGGGGCCAGCGGTACAGCATGAGGGGGGACCCCTAGGACCCAAAGAGCATGGGAGGTCTATGCGGATGTGTCCCGCCTCCCCAACCCAGCAGGGAGCCATGCCCCTGGAAGAGGGAGTTTCAGTCCTTCCCTACCCCTCCCACATTGCCTTTGCTTTGGAGGGCTGGAGAGACAAACAGACTCGAAGTCCCGTTCACCCCCAGGCCCTGACTGGGACTTAAACAAACATGAAGGAAGAGCTCCAGCACAATGCCGTTGCCCGCAGCCAGCTCTGCCGAGCAGGAGGTGGTCACAGACCGAATTTCTCCATGGTCAGAGTGGG